TTTCGCTTTTGAATCGTCAGGAATTTCCAAAATAATTTTATTGACAAATTGATACCAAAATAGATCAGATGTTTGTTTTGATAGAATTTGCTGTGAATATTCATATTGATCGAAGAAACTGCATTTTAAAGATAATTCATCTTGAAATTCAAGTTGTTCTTGAATTGATAAATATAAATCTTCTAGTTCAGTGTAACGATCAATACATTTTAGATATTGACAACCAAGCTCATCTTTTAAACTTTCATCAAAATCAAATATAAATATGGATGTAATTTGTGGAAATGAATGAATTTGAGATGCACCAATACTCGATGTTATCAAGAAAAGTTTTTCGTTATCAATTGATTGAATATAATTCATGCAAGATTCGATGTCATCGTAATATTCGACATACTCGTTTAATTGACGTAATCGTTCATCAATGTTTTTTCTAGCATTGTATGAATGAATATTGGAATCATACCAAACAATAGTAATAATTTCTTTATTTTCCTGTGTATTCACCATTGTTGACTTCTGTTATGATAATCGGCAAATGATGTCAAAGACTCAATGATAGGACTAAAATATTATAGAACATATATAGAATATGGGATCATTTAATCAATTAGTTATAAATAAATTATTTATTTAAGTAGAAAATAAATCATTCGCCTTTACTAAAGTAACTAATTAACTGTCTTATGTAAAAGAAACCTATTTAGGATAACCTAATTTTAAAAACTATCTTACCATGCAACTTTAAAATGACTTTATCATACTTTCGATAAAAAAAAATACAAGTCTGCATTACATATGACAGAATATAAAAAATGCGTAGCTATTTATCAACTGAGTAACTACACTCACTTTTTAGATAAATGTATTTTAAGATTTATATATGTGTTTATCAATATTTCTAGTAGAAAATTTCATCGTTTTCACTGAACTGATAAAAAAAACTACCTGAGCGACATTATTTAGTTATGAATAAGAATTTTTAGTTAGCATATACGTGGATTTACGACTTTTAACAGTAATGTTGAATAATCGTAAAAACTAGGAAGATTGTTATCTTGACAATTCAAATAATCATCAAACAAAAGAGTATATGACAACTAATGTTGTAGTTCTTATCTTTTTTTTTCTTCATATAATGACGAAAATGTTTTGTTACAACGAAAGAGAAAAATAACATTCGCTCCTATTGCTTTCGCTTCTCACATTCACCCACATCCCTGACGATAGAACTTAATCAACAGATATGGACAAATAGTGTCTTTAAAAGGTAATGCACGGAAGTCACGATTATTTCAAGCATACCCTTGCTCAATGAATCTCGTGAATTTTTGCTGATATTTTTACAATAGATAGGCCTAACATATCTAAGACGAAACCAAAAATTTCAGCTAGAACGGATGACATTTTCGCGATATATAAATGTCAAAAGTAGGAAGGAGTATAGACCTCATTTTTAGTACTTTCTATTACAATAAAATCCCAGTAAATTTTCCTTTTCTCAAAAAAGGACAAAAAATATAACCGAGATATTTTTACTGTAAATACCATCAATACCGTACTATACTACATTTTCATGCTAATAAAATACTTTTATTATTGAATTACTTTTGCTTGGTAGCATATAGCATTTTTAAAAGCTTTTCTCACGTATCTACAACAAGTTGGTCGCATCAATACAATAGAATAAACTAGGAACGTTCTTATTTGAAAGAGCACATCCAAATACACGGAATAACGCCTTCTAAAGTTTGGTATATTAAACTTTGGTAGCAAAAAACTTTCTTCATCTGATTCAACAGCCCAAATACGTGCTCCTATATTCTATATGAAGGTTGACAATTTTTCATCAGATGTCTCAGTTGAATATTTCAGATGAAAGCTCCTGTTGAGAAACCTCCAATTTAAAAATTTCAGTTCATTTGGATTGGTTAGCGAAAAATGATGTATCAATCACTTTCGTGAAATGTAATAGGATAGCACATAGAGGATGCGTAATTTTGTCCTATCCATATTTCAGTTAAAATAGACCTAAAGTTCTATGGCTTTTACCATGAGTTTTACTCATCAAGTACGTTATATATGCAAAGTTTCAGCTCAAAATTCGAACATCGATTTCTTTTCGAATTATCTATAGAAAATTACCGTAGTTCCCTCAGGATGTAGGAGGTGTATCGTTAAATCTAAGGTTTAGACAGGCATCCACGCCCCACACCCAAGATTCTTCAAAATTATGAAGAGAAAACAATATAATTAGAAAGATCATGAAGATTCGGCTTACTTCTGACTAGTAAAATATTCTGAAACTATGTTCATTATAAAGCTAAATAGATAAATATGTAATACTTGATCATATAATTGTTGGCTCGATGAGTACAATAGACAGTAACAATTTGAACAGAAAAAGTATTATCAAAACGGCAATGAGTGAGTTTCAGTAAACTCCACATACAATGAATAAAAGATAGTACTATTAATCAATTTCTATCTACGCATTGTGGAAACGAACATTTGAGAGTTAAATGTCTAAGATTAATATTATGAGTTAATTTTGGCATGATGAAGTTTAATAAATATAAGTAAAATACATTATTATATGAGTGTGTTTCTACTATATTTCAGGAATATATTATGAACTACTCAACATCACTATCATTATTTCAGCGTGTGGGTTATAGTATATTATTCATTCACACCCACACTCTTGAGCAACATTCAAAAATTTCAAAGAAAAACTTTTAATCACTAAGATTCGTCAATGAGGTAGAAGAGAATATAGAAAAAATATTATTTTTTAAACGAATATAACATAGTAATAAAATCCTTTCGATTTCTATAAATAGAAATCAAATTTCGATACTCAAAACTATAACAAGAAGAAAAACAATAATCAACGAAAGACAAACTTTATTCATACAATTTTATCTATAAATCGTTTTTTTCAGGACACCAAAAACTTCTGTATAAATGATGGTTGAATGAAAATTTTTCATGCTAATATTTATTTTCGTTAAAATATTTTCGATATGTTAACTAAGAAAAGTTACTATCATGCTACTAATTACAGCAAAATAAAGAAAACAGAATATATTTCGATTTAATTACTTCATTAACAAACGACTATTAGAGGAAAATCTTCGTCTATTATCAAGTTTAATTAAAGTTTTCGAGGTCGATGCATCAACATAAACAATCAATTAGTTAGAATTGTAAACTTACTCTCATTCAAAGAAAGTCTATTTTATGGCAGTGAAATCGATTTATATATATATTTGACTTGCTCACAGTGATATATTAAACGGGTAGGCGTGGTTGATCTCTTCCTTCGAAACAAAAAACTAGTTTTACCAACAATATTCAAAGATGTTGTTCTTTAATATTCAGAAAAATTTTCTCAAGAATTGAGAACTTGATATAAGGTAAGCTATGTGATTGTATCAACTCCTCTTCGTTTCATATAATAAATAGCAAATATATGTACCATAAATAAGGTGACAATTATATTTCTATATTTAGTGATCAACATATGATACCATTAATGTCATTTTTTTTGTACACTTTCATCGAAAATGAGTAAAAGAGAAGTATGCCATAGTCGTATGTGTCTCTATGTTGGCAGTATAAGATGAGGAGAGTTGAAGATTTAGGAGGGCTATTTGAAAACTTTCACTACAATTTACCGGATTGTGTACAAAGGCTCAAACAATATTTAGAGAATTGCTTTTGCAAAAAACGAATAAAGTATTGAAAATTTTTCAAGATATAGAGTGAGACTATCATGTGTAAGCCTTCTTCGTCGTTTGGAATACTCTTAGGTACAAAAATTTTCTATCACCCGTCTTCCATCTTTCGAAAAATCCTAGCTGGATCCATGTTTGCTCAATTTCTAGATCACATTTTATAAGAATATTGTAATTTTTCTCAAATAACTGCTCGTTGACGAATTAATTAAATTGAAAAATGTACTTGTACTCGTTGTTGAGTATCTAATAAGATAAAGATAACTATATTGACCTGTTTTCTAATAATTTCTAAGATGATCTCTTATTAATATATATATGCATTTAAATAATATGTTATTTATATAATTTTCATTCATATGGACAATCTAAAATATTTTCAATGGTTATTTTAGAAATGAAGAATCGTACTTAATCGAAAATTGATCACATTTCGTTTATTTCGAATTCATTTATTCGAATAGAATAAAAAATTTTAAGAATTTTTTAATCTATTTTATCTAAAAATATTATTTGTCTAATTTTTTTTTTGAGTGTGACTATATCAGTTGTGTACATGTTATTTTCATTGATCAACGATTCATCACTGATACCGACATCCATACTCAACTAATGGTTATAAATAGAACATAAAAAATGAACTTATATCAACCAAAACACAAAAATTTTTATTCAAATTTTTCAAACATATATTAACTTTTTGTTTTTTTGTTTTGATCGAATCAAATATACTTGACTATTTATCTATTCTTATTTGAATAATGTTTTTATTTTATCTTATAAGTGTTGCTTTTCTTTCTTAACCCTTTCGTTACCATAGTATCAAAAATGCTACACCTATTTTTTTTGATTATTTTTTTATAGCATAATTCATAGAAATAAGTGTACAATCTCTTGAAAGCAAATGAAAAAGAGGTGTTCTAGGTAGGTTTCGTAGTACTCGAAAACAGAATTGTGATGCGCTGATATCTAACTCTCGAATCACCTCTTATCCATTTTACATTATATGTTAGAGGTTTCTCTGATGATATTTCTTTTTCTTTCTTTCTGTTCGCGGCTGCAAGCCAACACGCACATGCGCATATAAATACGTATACGTATATATTTATTTTCTTTGAAGTTAGTTGTTACTTTTTCTTTCATTTTATCCCATGTGGTTGACCTGATTAAGTTTCTATTCTCTTATTGAATGCAAACTAGACACAAATCTTTATATTTGCCCTTTATTGGAACGTAATTTTAATACGTGATAAGAAGGGGATGGATTCTGATCAAAAAAGTAATACAAGCGACTCGAATTTTGATGATGAAAGCGATTATTATGATAGAAATGAAAGTGATCTTGAAATAGATGAAGAACTTACTAATGGAAATGGAAGTGAAGAAGAAGATACCATTGAAACTGAAGACGAAAAAGAATTTAAGTGGAATTGGGATGGAAACTATAGTCCAGATACAAGTTTTACTTCAAAAGAAGTCAAAGGACACACCACTATAACTCTTACCAATGACATTAGACCAATTTATATCTTCAACAAATTCTTTACACAAGATGTTTTTGATCTGATAGTAAAACAAACAAACATTTATGGAAAACAAAAATCTTTAGAACGGGAACCTGCAAGTAATTGGCAAAAGGTGGACGAAAAAATTATTCGTTCTTTTCTTGGTATATTAATAATTATGGGTTTACATCGTTTACCTCGAATAACTGATTATTGGAGTAGAAATAAAATATTTTACACAGAAGTTATTGCTAACCCTAGTCGACTCTCCCCCATAGAGTCCCCGGGGAGTCCCCTAAAAAATGCGAAATCTCTGGTGAGTCCCCAGGGAGTCACCAAGCTAATCCCCGGTGAGTCCCTAAAGTATAAGAACTCCCCAGTGACTCACTGGGGATTCCCCAGGGAATCCCTAATTTTTAGGGAGTGGGGAGAAAATTAAAAACTCCCTAGGGAATCCCCGTACAGGGACTCCCTGGTGAGTTTTTCTTTTTGTGATTTGATTCTATAAAGTGCATAAATGTTTTAAATATATACTAAAATACATCTGTTTAGATATATCTATTTCATTGGTTCTAGAAGCGTCCGGCTGGTACAAAAAGAAAAGAGGAGTCAAAGAAAAAGTACTTGACGTTTTTGTTTTGTCTGAAAATCGTTCAATTTATTTCGCTAAGCCGTATTGGCACTTTCTGGATAGATAGTAGTAGGGGTGTCATTTACCATTTAATTTATAATAAATATAAATTATGAGAAATTTATATTTATTGTAAATGTAAATTATTGTGTTGCAAAATTTAGATTTACAAATAAATGTAAATTATTATAATTTACATTTATTCGTAAATATAAAGTTTCAAAATTTATATTTATTCGTAAATGTAAATTTTGCAAAAAAATAATTTACATTTACAATAAATATAAATTACTTATCATTTAATTTACGCGTAAATTAAATAAAAGTAAATTTAAATTGACACCTCCTAGCAACAGCACTCGACAGTGTTGATCAAACATTTGGAATGCTACCAACATCGATTTTTGGTTGTGGCTCGGGGTGTCGATTTAAATTTATTTTTATTTAATTTATGCATAAATTGAATGATAAGTAATTTATATTTATTGTAAATGTAAATTATTTTGTTGCAAAATTTACATTTACGAATAAATATAAATTTTCAAAATTTACATATACTCGTATATGTAAATTATAATAATTTACATTTATTTGTAAATGTAAATTTTGCAAAAAAATAGTTTACATTTACAATAAATATAAATTACTTATCATTTAATTTACGCGTAAATTAAATGAAAGGTAAATGTAAATTGAGACCCCTAGACCTAGATAGTAGTTAAAGAGTTAGACATATATATATATGATATAGTTAGATGATCGATAGATAATGGAGGGCTAGGTGAATAGATGGATAGTTAGATAGATAGATACGTGGTTCAGTAGTTAGGCAAAAGTTATATAGAAGATTTGGTAGATAGACGAATGGATGCTAGAAATGTATATAGTTAGATAGACATTAGATAGGAAGATATTTGAAGGATAGTTATATAGATAGAAAGATAGTTAGTTAGATAGATAGATAGATGAGGATATATTTAGGTATAGATAGATAGGCAGATGAACTACATCGATAGGTAGGTAAGTAGATATGTAGATAACTAGGTAGGCAGATAGGTAGTTATGTAGATAACTAGGTAGATAATAGGTAGGCAGATAGCTAGTGGGTAGATAGGTAGGTAGGTAGCTAGATAGGCAGATAGGTAGGTACGTAAATAGATAGGTAGGTGGGTAGGGAGGTAGGTAGGTAGAAAGATGGGCAGATAGGTAGTAGATAGGTAGGTAGGCAGATAGGTAGGTACGTAAATAGATAGGTAGGTGGGTAGGGAGGTAGGTAGGTAGAAAGATGGGCAGATAGGTAGTAGATAGGTAGGTAGGCAGATAGGTAGGTAGATGGATAGCTAAGTAGGCGGGTAGGTAGGTAGTCCTGGGAAAGAACGAAATTTGGTCACGTCCCTAGGGACTCCCCTTGAGAATGAGAGGCTCATTGTTGACTTTTAAGGCCACTCCCTCCACAATCCCTGGGGATTCCCCATAAACTCCCTCTTAAATCCCCGGGGAATCCATGTCGGGAATCCCCGGGGAGTTTTAGCAGGGACTCCCCAGGGAGTTAATAAGGGAGAGTTGACTAGGGAATGTTATGCCGAGAAAAGAGTTTCAACGAATATTTACTACATTACATTTAGCAGATAACACAAAACAAAATCAATTTGTCAAAAGCTCGAAAAAGTTCAAACTATTCAAAGTTTTCGATTTTATTCGTTTACTCAAAAGGAACTTTCAAGCGAACTTCATTTTGGGAACCAACATTTCCATCGATGAAAGTATGATCAAGTTTAAAGGTAAAAGTTCTTTCAAACAATATTTACCTTCAAAGCCGATCAAGAGAGGATACAAAGTGTGGTGCTTGGCAGATTCTTTGACAGGATATCTTTATAATTTCGATATTTACACTGGTAAACAAGAAGTTAGACAAGGAACATTGGGTGAAAATATTGTTTTACAGCTGACTAACAACATCAATTTAGTGAATCATCAGGTATTTTTTGATAATTTTTTCACATCCATTCGACTGCTCTTAGAGCTAAAGAAGAGAAAAATTGGTGGAACGGGAACAATAAGAACGAATAGAAAGTTATTTCCTATACAACTTTTACAAAATGACAGATTGAAAAGGGGTGAATATAAACATTGCTCTTCTGGACAAATATCGGTTGTGAAATGGCAGGACAAGAAACCGGTGTTTGTTGCAAGTAATTCATTTGATCCAGGGAAAACGGAAATGGTTGGTAGAAGAGGGAAAGATGGTTTAAAACAACTTGTTGTTTGTCCACAAATGATATCTAAATACAATCAGTTCATGGGTGGAGTAGATTTATTTGATCAGCGCATCTCTTGTTATTCAATTGACAGAAAATGTACGCGAAATTGGTTTCGCATATTTATTTATTTTCTCCAAGCAAGTCTTTCGAATTCATTCATCTGTTACAATGATCTGAATCAACAACACATGACTTATGCTGATTTCCTTTCTACTATCTCATTGTCATTGGTTGGTGATACAAGTTCACGGAAAAGAAGAGGCAGACCTGTTCACTATTCTGCTCAAAAGCGAAGACGAATTCAATCGACGCCTGAGAATAAATCTTTATCAACTTCATTATTAGCACATATGCCTGTTGCTGGATCCAGAGGAAGATGTGGATATTGCAGCACAAAAGATCGTCCAATTTTTAGTAACATAAAATGCAGTTTTTGTGGTATTTCTTTTTGTGTAAAACAACGTAAAAATTGTTTTTTATTATTTCATGAAAACATTCTATAAGTTTTACAACTAATATATGTCAGCACTTAGAATTTCGGTTCAAGTACAATAAGGCTCAATATAATTTACGTTTTATAAATCACATGTGACAACAAATGAATTACTTTTTACATACGTCCCTGTCAATGGTAAACTGAGGATTTTAGAAAAGGCAGGGTCAACCGCTTTATCATCCACCTACCAGCTCGTCACTGGTCCCTATCTCTAAAAACAGCGAAAATTAAGATTCAGTAAATTTCAATGCAGAGAAAAAAAATTAGGTAACGAAAGGGTTAAAGATGAACATATATGTCTATAGAAAAATATTTAATTATCTTATAAGTATTAAACAAATTTTTAGAGTAGAAAATATGTTGAATATTGATTATCTTGTTTTCAATTTTATTTAATATTTCATTCAACTAAATTAATATAGAAAATAAAATTCATGATTGAATAATAATACTTCCATAACAAATTCTATTTACAATCCATTTTGATGGTAAACAATCTTGTATACCTTTGACAAGATCAAGAGTATTATGACGTGTATCATATTGATAGTAAATGTGCAACGTTCGAAGATTAATCATTGAATAAATTAAGTCCACAATACATCTGAGTTGTTTAATTTCAATAATTAATACTTTACATTGACTACCTAATGGTGATCGAGTTAATTCTAAACATTGTTTCCTAGTATAAAGATGTATATGACCAGTTTTACCAGAACCATATAAGTTAAGTCGATGAATTGATCGACTAGTAAATTGATATGGTGGTGTTTTAGAAGTATTCCAAGATGGAAATGATAATGAATATAGACGAGGTGCATTATCAAGTAATATTTGTAATTGTGATTTATAAACTATCGTTGGAATACGTACATGAAGTGAATATAAATTTTCAAATTTCGAAATAATTGACAAAAATCGATGATCAATTGGAAGTTGAATAGATAATATTTCAATATTAATAAATTGAATATTGTATATCGCTTGTTCGCTGAAGATCTGTTGTTTATATACTACATGACGAATAGAATCATAAGAAAAATCTATTTGAGATGAACAAGTCGATATTGTTTTAGAATCTGATTCATTAAATAAAATAGGAAAATAATTAAATGCATAAGGTAATGAATAAACGGTAAACGAAAGAGATTTTATCTCGCGTCTCCAATGACATCGAACAAACCATTGATGATGTTCAATCCAAAATGGATTACGATATGTTTCAAGAAATTGATCAATTTTTTCATCATCAGTTTTGTTATCAATCCAGAAATCAAGATTTGAATTGATCATAAATTTAAAAACATTCAATTTAGGTAAATAATTAATAATAATTTGTTTCCATTGATGTCCATCAATATTGAGAGATAATATTTCAATTTTTAAATTAATAATATTAGGTAATAATTTAAATAGATTAATCATTAAACGTTGTGACCTTACTTCAGTTAGAACAAGTTTTTTAATCGAAAAATTCTGAGGTAATGGTATAAATTCACGAATAAGAGGAAGATCATCTTCTTCATACGTATCTAATGATGTTGACAAATTTTTTAAGTTAGGTGTTTTTTTAAAGAAATCAACAAATTTAGATGAATACCAATATGGTTTACAAACAGTTAAATATTGCAAAGATTTTGATACATTAGTAGGAATAGAAAAAAAATTCGATTCAAATCTACAATCCCAATATAAATGAGTTAATTTTGATAGATTCCAAATTTGATTAATTATATTGTTAAAATCTTCTATGTTGATATTATACAATCGACAATCAACAAATTTAAGATTTTTTATTTCGTTAAGACGATATAAATCGGAAAAAAACGATTGATTCATTTTTCGATCTGAACTAACACAATTAAATGTTAGAGAACGAAGATTATTAAATTGACCTAATGTAAAACCAGCTGATAGAAAATTTGTATATTGAAAAGGTGTGTCCTCATCGTCAGAAATTCGTAGATAAATTGTATGATTTAATATTAATCGAAGATATTTTTGACAAAAAATATCAAAATCTTTTTTTAATATTGAACGTAAATCAATACGATTATTTCGAAAATAGATAAATAATAAAGAATTAAAACGAATATTAAGATTATCAAAAGCACGAAAAAGATCAATTCCATTAAATAATTCGAATAAATCAAGAAATAATTCATTCGATAATGATTCGAATGTTGTATTATTCATTTTCATTATTATATTAAAATCTAGAAAAATAAAAATTTAATATTATATAACTCAATTTATTCAAAAATCGAATATACTCAAGCAGTCAACAAATAAGAAATTAACACATTGTAACAGTTACTTTATCTTTTTCTTTTAAAATGTTGTACATTATTTTAATTAAACGTCCGAATTTTCACGTTTTAACAGTTTATATAACTTTGACTTTAATATCGTTAGAACGACTAAAAAGAGAAAAATTAAAATAGATTAAGAAAAATAACTATCTTAAAACACAACAAATTTGAACATTTTTTCAAGTGTACAATGCGTTTCAATGTTTTATAAATTTTCAAGTTATATATTCTAATAGGAAAGTATTATATTATAAGTAAGATAATATTATATATATTAGGATAGAATTAAACCTGTTATTGTTAAACTAAAAAATAACAAAAAAAAATATAAATTGTTTTTGACATGAACCGATCGAGACTGAGATATTTCATTTCCAAGATATGTTTAGAGTATATTCTGTACTTATTATTTGAGTACAGAATACATAAATTATTTCTCATATTATTATTGAATAAACCACGATCAATCACATCAGGAAAAAATATTCTTCAAAATTTAAAAACTAACCTTACGAAAAAAAAAAATTCAAGATGCTGCTATTCCAAATATATAAGGGAAGAAAGACTCAAAAATTCTGATCTTCTTAGTATTCTTTTTTAAAATTTCAAACATATTTTTATTATGCAATTCGACGATCTGTATCTCAATTATCTCGATCTATGTATGTCAAGGATAAGTGTATATCTGTTAGCTTAATTCGAAGAACTTTAATTCAATTCGAATATACTTAATCTTTTTTTAACTTATTATATAAAACCTTTTATATAACAACAACGAAAGTGTATATAAATACATTGTATAAATATCAAACTTAATAGTTCTAAGACATTGTTTAAAATATATGAATATATTTTGTATATTCTTGTTTCTTATGAAAGAAAATTTTATTATTTTTTCCTTAAGTATTTAGTTTTTTTTTAATTCTTTATACTCTGTTAAGAATTTGTTAGATGAATTCTATTAATTAATATTTAACCGATGTTCTCATTTTACATATGACCAACTAAATAGAGTAAATAGAAATGATTAAAATCGATGAAATCTTATTTATTTTCAATTTTGTAGAAAATATTCACAGAGATTAAAATTAAATACTACAAAAAAAGTTATCAAATTTACTTTCCACTTACTTAAAATATAGTCAAATGTTTTTTGAGCAAGTTCTTATAATGAAAAGCGCATGAAATTTATGAACTGTTTGAATATTGTAGAAAGATGAAATTCACACCATCACTTCTGATTTCTGTATTTAAAAGAATTTATTTTTAGTTTCGAAATAAAAAAACAAAAAATCTTTTTTAACTACAACAATTCTTCTGATTATTATGGACTAAAATTGAAACGAAGTCAAGTTCAATGATTATGACAACTAACTAATCGTTTATTACTCTCATTTTATTATTCATCAATGTTTTTTTTTATATAGTAGAGATGAACTACTTGAATATATATATATACGATCAACTCTATCTGTTTATGAACGTTTTTTATTGAAGAGTGAAAAATATCAATGGTCTTAAGTTTCTACTATGAAGAGAAATTAAGATAGTTTTTTATATGAAAAAACGAAAATAGCTTAATTATTGTGTAGAAGTCAAAAATGTATCTATTTCAGTATTTTTGAAATTTTTTTATCATGAATAAATATTCAAAACTTATCTCTTGTTAGAAAAAAAAAACTAACTCAATTGAATCAAGATGACGCACAGAATTTTATTTATTATTATCACGTAGAATAATAATCTATCGATGTAATAGATAAATCATTAAATGAATAATCGGCGCTTCCCGATTGTAATACAAATGAGAAAATGAAACAAAGAACAGTTGAGACAATGATCGATGATGACTAATAGGAAGACATGTATAATTAAATGACATCTATTGGCATCATTGAATAAATATATATTTTCTTAAATATCATCAAATAGAATATTGAATTAAATATACAATTTTTAGAATAATTTCAGTTGAAACATTTTTTTTTCTTAGTCCTCTACTATTTGCTTTATTCTCTTATATTTGAATTCATTTAGATTTTAGTTTATAAGTTTGAGATTAATAATTCATTAAACATATGTTAAATTAAATAAAGAGTAGTTTTGCATCATATTTCCTATTTAATTCATTTCCGAATATATTTACTATAGTGTCGCTTCGACCACAACTACATCGACTAATTCAAAATGAATTAAAACAGAAATAATGAATAAATCATCTTAAAAAGATAATTTAAGTCGGAATAGATCAATAACGTGGATTTATTATTTTTTTTGAAATATTTTTTAAAATAAATTATAATATGTGTTTATACATTCGAACCACTCAAAAAGAAATGTCAACCTGCGAGTTTTTCTGTTTATCTTATATAATATATCATTTTATTTCTTAAATTTATTCTACTTTTAAATAATATTTCTAATGATTACTTTTATGTAATAGGATCCATAAAATTTCGATGTTCAATGCATTACAAGAATATTTAACCGTTTATCTGTCTGCATGGATATGAATTATAAAGAGCGACTATTCTTATATGTTATTCGACATGCTTCAATTCATTAAAATGAATCAATGTTCATATTAAAATGCATTTATTTGCATAATTTATCAATTTTCATGCGTTAAAAACATGTTCATTTACCTAATATTTTCGTTAAAATGCATTCTGGACAAAAAAAAGCCTGTTTACACTCATTGATTTCTTTTATTTGTCGAGTGAAAGAGTTTTAGAGCATTTTTTTGTTCGATTTTCATCATCAATGTGTCAAAACAACGTTTTACCATTTGCTGTCTGCGTTAGTTGCGTTATAGGGTGTGGATGTGAGAAAAGGAAAGATATATCTCCATACCCACACTTACACCCACATCCCCAAAATCAAATGTTATATAATCGAGATTACTTAAATACATTGTTTTGGATATTAGTGTTGATATAATTTATTTTATTCGCTTATATTCTACTGAGATGATGAATTGTTTTTTCCGAAATGAAAATATTTCCATTTTACTATTTTTTAGGTAGAATCGAATTGGTTTCAATCTAATTTATGATCTTCTTAACTCGACCTTTTTTTTAATATTCTTCTACTATGTTTAAATATGTTAATTTTGGTGAAATTCGTTTTATACTTACTAAAAAACTAATGTGCGTGGAAAAAAAAGTTTTGATTTAAAAATTTGTTCTATTTAGTCTTTAAAATAATAACAGGTGATTAATTCATATTAAAGTGAGTCATCATACTTCTTTATTAATAGTTAATTATAATATATATATAAATTCTCTTTGATAATTCTAATATATTTTGAAAGAAAATAAAATTATCTTATGATCTCAAAAGTTGACAATGACAGACTATTATAATGATTCTACGTTCGAATACACATACGGATAAACTATTCATATATTCATCTTATCATTTTCGACTTATTCTAATCTTATATTAAGACATTTTTCTACATTTAATAAACATTCAATCATTAGATATCATTGAAAGTATTTTCACTTTGAAATAAATGTATAGATTAGTTCTAATTTTATAGAAATGTTGAAAAATTTTATTTTATATCGATCGAATCTTCATTTGTAATGTTTTTCGATATATAAATTTAAAATAAGTTAATATGTCAATAGAGAACTATATTCACAACTATTTATACGTGATGAAACACACTCAACAACATTTATACTTACAATAAACAATTATCATTGAATTCATCAAATGAAAAGAGAAAAAAGATTCTTTTGCACATTCTGAACATAACTAGATAATTCCATATTGAAATTTCGATAGATTTAAATTAAATACATTTATAAAAATATTCTATTTAAAAATAAAGAAAATTTTATTAATATAAAATTAATTTTTTCTTTTTTATCTATTTTAAAAAAAAATGCTTTGAATAAAAATATTATTGACTAATTATTTTATACTATTTATTCAATTGTAAATACAAAATAGACAAATGACTTAACCAATTGCATTACCATCATTCGAATCTATATTGAATAAAAATTTTTCAAAATATATGCATTTTCTTTCTTGTGAAATATTATTTGAAAGAAATATATTGAATTGTAGGCGTAGAAATTCTAATTATTGAAGAATATGACAAATACTAATCGATTAACTATACATTTGAAGTAATTAACAAAAGCAACGATAAACGAAATATATTTTCATATAGACAGAATAAATCCATCTTCTTTTGATTAACATAAGCAACTACATTATGTTTCACATTTTAAGACAATAGACATAGTACTAATATCGTTTTCTATTTGCTCATTTTTTGGTCACATTATTCAATAAAATTCTATATTTTTTCAAAGATCATTCATAAATAGAATAGCTATGTCTATGTATCAATCGAAGGGTGGGTGTGGGGTGTGGGTGTGGGTGTGTGGGTGTGGGTGTGTGGGTGTGGGTGTGGGTGGGTGTGGGTGTGGGTGTGAGTGTGAATGTGGGTATGAGTGAGGATTGGTGTATATATTCCTGCGACCCACACCTACACTCCACACCATAAGCTACACTCTGCATCCCACACCCACACCCTTTCTTGCCAGATAGAGTTCAGCGAGGGTCTATTAGAAGAGAAGGTCGATAAGAAAATGATGAAAAGAAGTATCGACGTTTCATTGTTGTTTTGTGAAGCTTCAGCAAATTATTCTGCATTGCTTCTTCGTCTTCGATATAGTTTGTTTCAATGATATTGACTCAGTTGTCCAAAGGAATATATGTTGTGTCGGAATTCGACATCACTATGCAAATTGTGCATAACTTTCATATGATCGACATACATAAATAAAACTGACAACAGATCGACAAATTAGTTGTTTTTCGAGTCCATTGTAACTGACTTTTGATTGTTTTTCTTTATAAGGAAGC